GGTTATTGTGCGGTAAGAGTGAAAACCAAAAATAACTGTAGTCGAGGTTCTCGATGGTTTGGTTTATTTTGAAAGTATCAGTGATGACGTGAGTTCCTTTGTGTGATGACGTGAGTGTAATGAGCACCTCACAATGAGTTGCACGGTTAGCACGAGCGCTTAGTGCAGTCGGTTGGTCAGTCGTTCTGTGGGTAACTACGCAATCAATCGCCAATCCAATCGAAGTACCGTTTGGGTACAGTAGTAACAAATGCCGTTTAGGTACACCAGAGGAAAGAAAAAAAAACATAATACAGACGATCCCATCGGCAGTCATCGCTCTGGGAGCCATCAATTTATACCTGTCCACGGGTATTCTATCCATGAATGTACCATAGAAATGGAATGGGTTATTACCGGTAGTAAATGTAGATGTGGGTGAGGAGGATCTTACATGTGGTATAGCGGGAGAGTACAGACAATCCCCTCGGTAGTAATCCCTAGAGTTGGAATATTCCCTAAACAGCAATAAATTTGCGGATGTGAGCATGGTGCTAATATATTTGTACAGCAGTTATTGAGAGTTAGTTAGTGTGAGGCGGACTGGCTGAGCTAGTGTCTTGGCGTAGCGATGCAAAGATGGCTATAGGACAGCAAAACAGGGTGGCACGCCAGTAATGCGCTACATCAATCGTCTCCATTAAAAAGGTTTGTGCTCAGTTCCAAGCTAAAAGTATTCGGACCATTCTTGTTCACTCAGATGTCGTCCGAGAAGCATCATAGATTGAGATTGACATTTGTAGTGAACTGTGGGTTTCCACCTTGGTTTCACTTGCAGTTAGAGCTGGAGCTGGGGGTGTTCTCCCAAATGCGTCTACAGCCCAGTGGCTAGAGGACAATGGGTGGAAATCTGGTGGTGTGTCTGACGCCTGCCGGCTGACGACATCACAGGCACTTGGACAGCCAGTGTCCTTGTGTGCTGTACTAGGATTTAGTAGGGCCTACTGCATGTGTCCTTTTCGGTGAATGCGTGTCCACTTTCTACTGCTGCCTGTCGCTCTGATCAAGTGGCAGCAGCATTGAGGAGGAACGGGCTGGCTAGTGTCAGACCCATGATCTTTCTCACTCTTCAATTTGCTAGGAACTAGCTAAATACATTCGGCCACTACTTCTGTGCGGGTTGGCCCCCGCCTTGCTGGTCTTCCTACTTCGCTTCAAAATCCCCTACAACATTGAAGAGAATACAGAGCAACCTGTAGTAAATCTTTCGATGATAGAGGCTGTAGTTGTCATCCCCAAGCCTTAACCAACCATTTCAGTCTCTTCTAAGTTTGAAAAGTCTAAAATGCGGGCTTGTTTTACCGGGAGCCTGCCTAGGAGGAAAATAGCAGAATATCAGCGATGAGAGGGATCATTTAGAACAGGATGATCTCCATTGTCGTTGATGGAATCACCTCACCAACATCAACGGCCACGATCTCGACGCTTCCAATCACGAAATAGTCTGAGGACGTTTACGGATTAAGCTTGGTTGGATGAACATGGCCACGCTTCTCGTAGACAAGATAGGATACTTTCTCTCTTTTTTTTTTTTTTTTTTTTTTTACTGAGATCCAGTTTATTCTCGTAGACACGACAGGATGTTTCTTTTATTGAAATTCTGTTTACTGCGCTAAATTACCGCAATCGTAACCAAACCTAAAATATTCGCCACAGGACTATAATCTTATGTAAGTATTTCTAAATACCATACCTTTGCTACAGGCAACCGGCCATTAGTCTCTTTTCGACATCCTCCAGCAATACCTCGAATCCCATTTGCTTCTGCTTCGCCAGCATTTGAATAGTTCGGTCGACGAATGGTTGACAGAGGGGTAGGTCGCAGTCAAAATTGACGACCCTGCTCATGCAAACCTTCACCATTGTCACTCCTGGGGATATCTCGCTCAGGACGAACCAGTGCTTCTCTCGACAGCGGACTCCACTGATAACGGCCCCAAACGCTTCCAGCACCTGGCTTTGCCCCGAAAAAGCAACCACCTCGCGGTGTTCATCAACAACGCGCTTGGTTGCATAGCGGAACTGGATCTTCACCGGGCTGCCGTCTTGCTCCATTTCCATGATGAAGGATTGCAAAATTACCGCCGCTTTTTCTTTCTGAGGTGGCTAACTCATGAAAAATATATCAGCAAAAAAGGCAAAATAAAAGCCTTGAGGCCAACGCACCTTTCCAGGCTCGACTTTGTTTTCAACACCGGTTTTGGTCACTTCGTACCAGAAAGCGTCTCCGACAATCTTACAGTCGAAAGGAATGATTCGGCTGAGTAGGACGTCAATACAGGAGGCGGCGTCCGTGATTCGTGTTAAATTCGTTAGCGAACAAGGCGATGAGATTCCATCAAGGCCTGTGGATACTAATGCGAGGTCAGTGTCTGCATATACCTGCTCGAGGTCGCCACGAAGTCGCTGCATAACCACCATGTCGCCATCGTCTGCGTCAAAGTAATAATGAATGCCGCACTTGTTCGAGGAGCGAAGTGTTTGCTGTTGTGCACGAGCATTACAGCAGTATAAGGGCCACAGAATGGATAACACCTGAGAAAATGTGGACTTACCTTCACTTGCTCCTGCATCTGCAAAAGCCTTCTCAACGTTTCAATTGTTGCAGTTTGGCGAGTGTAGATGTAACAAAGGTGTTGGTTTTCCGCCTCAGATTCTTTCCGAAGCCGGCGGTATTTTTTTTGCTAGATCCTTCCACACGCCGAAGAGGAGACCATTGTCTTGGTCGAAAGTCGGATTCATCACGTCGACTATTGCGTCTTCAGCATCAGCAGCTTGCTGCTTCCTTTTCATGTCAGCGATGCGATTCTGCAGCACTTGCGCTTCTGCTCGCAGTTGGAGGATCTCAAGTCTCTGTCGATCTCGTGACCGGTTCCTTCTGGGGAGTTGCTATTTGGTTCGCGGACGTGGTAAACTAGTTGTCCCGGCGGTATTGCGAGAAATTCTGTTGGTCTGCTTTGAATGCCGCGTGACATTGTTGCTGATGTGCTTGGTAGTATGGGATTCACGGGAGCTTGACGAGCTCTCGTCGCTGAACAGGTCGTTCCCGTACTCGTCGATGAAGGCCAATGCCGCCTGCAGAGTCTCGCATTCTTCATCGTCACCGAGACCCAGACTCATGCTGAGGTTATTGTGCGGTATGAGTGAAAACCAAAAATAACTGCAGTCGAGGTTCTCGATGGTTTGGTTTATTTTGAAAGTATCAGTGATGACGTGAGTTTATTTTGTTGCAGTAGGAAGGTCATTGATTAATACCCAATACTCACAATCGTACAATATGGGGGTATCAGTGATGGTGTGAGTATAATGAGCACCTCACAATGAGTCGAATGGTTAGTACGAGTGTTTAGTACAGTCTACTGTAAAAAGCCTATCATAAGGCATCCCTTGTAGCGACAGTCCATTTTTACCAGCCAATCAAATACCGTATTGCGTATGTGCTTACCGACGGACTCCATTTACTGACAGTTGCTATTAGCCAATCAGAGACCCGAACCGTTCATACCATCGCACCGTATGTGCTTCCTGACAGTAAAGAACAACCACAAAATTGTCATTTGCAATTTCGCAACAGCAGCAGCAGTTACCGAGGGACGCGGATGCCGCCTGGTCGCCGTCGCAACACGGGTAACGGCGATAAAGAGCTTACACATGCTCGGACCTGCTTTAGCAATAGCAGGAAGGTCGAGACAGTACTGTATTTTGAGAATCACCACGTTAACGAGCCGTTGGACAAGTTATTTTCCGGCCTTGACGACCATGCAAGAGAGCAGAAGCGCAAACTACTTAACCAGTGGCGCAAAGAGCGCGAAAAACTAACGCAATTGTGTGCGACACCTCGTCTAGCTCGTTTGAAGTATGTCCGCTCATCTAACTACGCAACCATCCTCCCTGCAGATGCTGAACGTGAGTTAGTGCAGTGGATAAACACTCTAAGGAAGGACGGAGCTCCGGTGAGCGCCAAAATGCTGGAGCTACAAGCTAAGGAGACTGCAACGGACTACCATGTATCGCCTTTCATGGCGTCATGGCATTGGAGGAAAGGGTTCATGAAGCGCCATCGTCTGAGTATTCGTACCCAAACTAGGTATCTTTAGAGGAAGCAGACGCAGTTGCGATCAAGTTCGCAATGGACGTGCAGCAAAAATGCTGGAACTACGCGTCACCAAGGTGTATAACGCTGATCAAACCGGTAAGTATACAACTTTGCTACTGGTGGATGGTTTTCAGGGCACTGGACCCCGGATGTGATGCCTTACGCCAAAGAAATCGATGTTTATCTCATGAAAGTACCTCCATCGTGCACAGAAGTGTGTCAGCCGGCAGATATCGCATGGAATAAGCCGTTTAAAAAGTATTTACGAAATGCATGGGTAGATATGCTGCGTGAGCAGCTTCGAGTGTACAATACCAGTGGAAAAACCTTTAAAATGAAGGCTCCAAGTCGCTCAAAGGTTTGCACATGAATACAGGCAAGCTGGAATCAATTAAGAGAGTCGACAATCCAGAGAGGCTTTTGGAAAGCCCACTTATTGCCTCCTATTCCGCCGTCAGCTGATGCGTATGCGGATTTAGGTGTCAACGACGTGCTAGATGATGCTACAGTTACCTTGTGGTCTGAGTTCCATGTTCTGGATGCCAATGTCGGGGATCTGTCTTCTGCTGATGACTTGGAGAGTGGCGAAGATCAAGAAAGTGACGAGTGGTATATTCGTGATAAAAATTGTATGAATTTTTGTTATCTATCGTCACATTCAATGAAGATCGATTTTGGTATCATTAAGATGTGCTGTAGCAAATCATCCAGATGCATGTCGGTAAGCACATACGCAATACGGTACCCGGATTCTGATGATGTGTCATGACTTGTCAAACAGCACCCTTGGAAATATAATACCATCCAACTCTCTGGGTTTTATATCCAGAGTCCTACTTTTGCTTGTTAATATCTAGTCTCAACTCGATATAGATATATACCCGTTCTCTATTTATTGGCTTTTTATTTATACTAACTTTATGGATATGTATTTGTGCCGTGCAGGCTGTAGGCTGACCCATCCGAAGAAAACATGCTAGAATGATTACACACGGGTTAAATTTAAGTATCTGCTGGAATGATAATTCGTGTAACATTCGTGTTTTATCCGATATTTGGTGTATCCATCGAGAATGCCATCAATCATATTTCAATCGCTAATTGAGTCTGCAAATGGTTAACGTCTTACATTTACCGACGGTCATAGCTCGTGTTCACGTGACTAATGACTATACGTTGATGCGTGAGGCACATGTATCTAACGGGCAGCGTATTACTGGTGGATAGCATGGCTTTGAACAGGTTAGAACTACTACTCAAGATGAAACAAACATATGTAACCTGCAGAAATAATGGGTGTATGGATTGTCACAGATTGTAGTGGGCAGTCGGATTGACAGGGCGTGCCGTACAACTAGCACGGTATGCTGGCGAGGAGGCTGACAGAGTGGCCTCGATGAGGCCATTCTGGGATGGTACAGAGTACCAGGTATAGCCATTTCAAGCGGTAGTCATCACGAGAAGATGCCCGAGGGCAACAGTCGCTAAGACCAACGAAGAGGACAAGGATGGAGGACAAGAACAGCGGCGGTGCGGCGGGCAACAATCCCAGGACGGGGTTTCGTGATGAGGGAGGCATGCCAGGTGCCTGTCCTTGGCGATAGAAGATGGAAAACAAGGAAGGTATCCAGTTCTGAACATCCCCAGACGAAGCCAGAAGACAGAAACAACTCAGAAACTTTACGTATTTCTCTTTTCTATTACTTGACCGCTATCTACCGCTGCAGCAGTAATCGCGACCCCGCAACCTTGGCAAGACCGTGACAGCGTTCCTAATAAGCTCTGGCACCACTCGTAAATATGAAGAATCGGATCGACTCTCCTTGGCTAGGAACTGTAGTGGGGGGGGGGGGGGGCATGAACGCCCAACGATGACCCCGCAATACAGTGAGCGAAGCTCTGTAGTTGAGCTATGGTAGCATGTGCGGATAGTTAGCCACTATGTAGTGGCTCAGCACGCAGTGAAGTGCACATCAAGTGCTGTGGCCCATGAGATGAGGCCACGCATGCAGAAGATTGTCTACTGCACATACATCGTGACTGAGAGCTACCAGGACGTTGCCTTGCAGGACGCTGTCACTGGGACGCTAGTGATAGCTAGGTAGAGCGGTTTGTCGGTGTGCATGTCTTTATAGTTCACTTTCGGTTTTACATCAAAGCCGGCAAGCGCAATACAGTCGCCAAGAGACTTATTGAAGTACCAGCTTCCCCCGACTGTGTTCGCGTTTTTAATAAGTGTGGCCTACTACAAGAGTACTTTAGTGCGATCAAGGTCAAGATGACAAGATGAACGAGGAGCAACCCGACGACCAATGCACCACAGCGGGAGATTTGTCTACAGTGCCGATGGCACTGTTCATGCTCCTTGCAGCGCCTCAACTTAAGAGCATCTCGCATGCAGCTGTTGGCCAGTGGCGCAAGCTACACAGTGAGTACGAGGGCGAAGTAGCCATGCGCTGCAAGAACGACCTGACCAAGATGGCGGAAGTTCTTGTTAGTGTAAAGACGTCGTTTGACTAGCGACTTCTAACTGCATGGTGTGACTTTGAATGGGATGTCGACGTTGCTAACGTTACCGACGATTTCATCCTGGCGAAGATCGACGAGATCATTACGTCGGTAAAAAAAAGAAAAACAACGCTGTTCCGGACGTAACCGCCCTTTTTAAAGAAAATTTCGTCGTGGACATAAAGGAAAGTGAGGTCGAGGGGAGAGTTGTGTCATTTTTTTTGTCCGAATCCGTGAATTCATCGATGAACAAGGTTGGCAAGCCATATTGTTTTTTTACAGGAAATGAAAGTGTGAGGCTTAAATGCATGCTATTGGTTGAACCTCGCAGCCTTCGTGAAGATATATCAGCCGTCGTTAAGTACTAAGTCGGACAGCAAAAGAAGATGAGAAGAAGTTGTTCAAGCTGATACTTGAAAAGGCATTCGAACAGGACCGTGACTTTCAGCGCCGCAAGCGTTCACATGGCCGAGACCCAAGTGAGTCGAAGCGCAAGGAAAAACAGACGCAGAGCACTACCAACCAGTCTCCTGCTAAGTACCGTAAGATCGAGAATGGTGGCGAACCAACCAAAAAGAACATCAGTGCGAGCAATAAGCAGGGCCAGAAAAAGAGTGCTGTGAACACTTCTCCAACCGGTGGTTGTCTTAAGTGCAAAGGCGACCATTGACTAATTCACTGCCCGACTGCGAGTAGTGACGAGAAGAAAGAGCTCCTCCACAAGATGCATGAGCGTCGCGATAACAAGCGGGCTAATGCCGATGCGTGAAGGTTAAAGCGCATAAAAAGCTTTCTCTCGGAGCACGACAAGACTGTCGTCCTTGAAGATAGACTGTCCATGCCCTATTGCCCGGATACTGGGGCGGAAAAAACATCATCAGTGCTCGGAAGCTAATTGAATTGAAGGAGTTAGGAGGTCTTGTGAAAAAATACCACGTTGACACCGACTATCATCTGTGAGACGGCCGGAAAGCATAAGATTCTGGCGAGTCGGTCCGTTCGACTACAGATAATACTACATACAGCTGCTGGACATGCAAGACCAGTCAAGCCGTGTGAAGCGTTCGTGATTGATAAAGATGAATTCATCATGGGCGAAGACATTCTCACTGATCTTGGCATCAGTATTGATCGGCAGTTGGAGCAGTTGGCCGAGAAGTCCTCAGCGGATGACGACGACCCGATACCAGTTGAAGACGCTTTCGCAGTGGGTTGTACACCTGGTGAGGAGATTCGCTAAGCTGTTGCAGGCATGATCGTGACAGCTATTGTGAACGTCTTTCCAGCAGACAAAAAGGACAAACTATGGATTATTGTGTATATGTACGATGTGTGGAGGTACCGACTTCGACCAGTCCCACCTGCGAAGGTCCCACCATTGGAAATTCGACTGAAGAAGGGTGCTACACCATTTCGGTGTATGCTGAAGGTGTACCCGCCGCACATACGGAAATTTGTGCATGTGTTTAACGATGAGTTGGTCCGTCTAGGATGGGTATTCGAGAACGGCTTAAGTCGGTGGGCGTGCCCTGCTCAAAAAGCCAGGCAAGGACGAGTTCCGCCAGACAAGTGATTATCGACCTGTTAATGCGGAAACGGAGTCGATTGGCGGTGTCATACCAATTCTACAAGTGATAACTGAGCACGTACGTGGAATGCTTTTCTTTGGTCTTTTTGACTTCATCAAAGCCTTTTTGCAGTTGTCTCTTGACAAGGCAAGCCAAGAGATCCTGAGTTACATGACGGATGCCAGTAATGCAGCCCTGCATTTTCTGAGGACAATTGAACACTGTTTCGCTAAACTGCTTTTACTGCTTTTTTACAAGGATTTATGGATTGACGATCTACTACTGTATGCAGAGGACGTAGATACGTACTTGGAGAAACTTAGTGAACTGTTCTCGCTGATGAATGAGTTCGGACTTAGGCTGAGCGCAGCTAAGTCCTCTTCTTTTCCAACGTTCTATCAAGTGGTACGGCAAGGTTATTGACGGCGAAGGCGTTCGCCATGACCGTGAACGAATCGCAGCATTACGTGCCATGCCATTACCGTCTACTGTCGGAGACTTGCAGCAGTTCCTGTGTGCGTGCAACTGGATGCGCGACAGTCCCCTAGACTATGCAGGCAACATGAAAGCTTTACAGACGGGCCTTGACTTGACTCTGGGAAATGGAAAACGGACTAAGAGGGTTGCAGCTCGACTACCAGCCAGTTTACTATGGAAGAAACGACTGCTTTTGATAAAGTCAAAGAGTGCCTCGCCGATGCTGCAATATTGGCACATCCAAGCCCCGACGGAGTACTTTCAATGATCACCAATGCTTCCGACGAAGCGTGGAGTGTGATATGGAGACAGGGAAAGGTGATCAATCTGTTTGTGAGCAAAACCACTTCTTCACTGTCTAAGTGGTACATTTACAGGATCACGAGCTAACTGGAGCGTGATTGAGAAGGAGGTTTTTGCCATTGTAGCAGCATGCGACAAGCTGCCATACCTCCTTTTCCGCCCGCGCGGTTTTCGACTCTATTGTGACCACAAAATATTATTCACGTGTTGGCTCCAAGCGACACTGTGAAGAAGCGTATCCGTGACAAGATACAGAGGTAGGCAAGTGAATTTCGCTACGAGATCTTCCACATTGCCGGCGAGGACAACGTATGGGCTGATATGGTTACTCGGTGGGCTCGACCACCAAGAACCCTTCGTATACGCAAAGTTCAGACCCGTGGCCAACAGCAACATTCGACGCCGAAGGCTTTGTATGGCCCGACCTGGACTCCATCTCAGATGCCCAGCGCAAACTCGGGGACAAGTCTGAGATGCAGCGCCTGCAGGAAGGTGATGACCGGATTCGACGCAAGAACAATCGACTGTACATTCCAGCGGAGGCCGCAAATCCGCTCCGCCGCTTGTGCATCATCACACACTGCGGTTCCCAGGGACATCGATGCCGGGAAAGCTATGCTGGCACAACTAAGACGAAGTATTTACTTGTCTTCTCTTCCACAATGAGTTGACAGGTTTCTGACAAGCTGTCTCCTGTGCCATCATGTAAAAATGGGGAATTTTGAGTCAAGGGCCTGGAGTGAAACCTATCGATGCAGTGAGCGAAACCAAGCGCTACACTGGGATTTTCTCTACCTAGGTGAAACGTACGGTGATCTACAGTATCTACTGGTGCTCAAAGTTGATGCTAGTCACTACTGCGAGCTTGTCAATTGTGAGACCCGTGGCGGCTGATGCTATCACGGATTGGCACAGCCGTTTTGGAGTGCCTAAAGACTGGATTAGTGACCAAGGGACTCACTTCAAGAATGAAGTGATAGACGATCTGTACAATAGGTTGAAATGCAAGCAAATCTTTTCGCAAACCTAAAGTCCATGGATCAACGGGTCTGTGGAACGGGTAAATCGAGATATCCTGTAAGTTCTGCGGGTACTTATCCTAGACTACAAACTTAACTGCAGTGATTACCCAAGGGCCGATCCAATTGTACAAGCAAATCTCGACCACACTGCCGTACCGTCATTGGCAGGCAAGACACCGGGCGAGCTGTTCACCGGACCGGACCCCCTTCGCCCCTGATGGCTGTATACTTGGGACAAGAGGTGGCTCCCAGTGTACAGCTGACTCGAACCTCGGCCGAGATCGAGGTCGAGTCAAGTCTGGCTCAACTACGGGCTAGTGTCAAAAACATGCACAGGGCGGTTGCGTGGTGGAGTGGGGGTCGCTAAATCACGTTGGGATCCACTCTGACACAGGACTGCCAACTAACGGAGGAGGCCCGTCGGCGGGGCCGGTTACACTCCTCTGGTAGACTTGATGAGAAGCTTGGCCTGGGGTGGTTCCGTCTTGGCGGGAATGGGGTTGCGTAGCGTGGATACTCTTTAGGCTACGCGCCAGGTAGGT